CAGCGCGGGGCGGGGGAAGCAGGGAAGCCAGTCCCTGAAGGCTGTGGCTACAGTCCCCCATCCCCATTGCTGGGCGAGTGCTCTCTGCGTGTCGGTGGCACAATCCAAACCCCACCAGTCTGGTCAGTGCTGCAGGGACCTCTGCTGGGTAATGCAGGGGCACCCAGTAACTCTAATGCTGCCGCCTCCTCTGGAAAGGCAGCTCTGTTAAACTTTGTTGATGCATTTCTTCTACAGTATACCTTTTACACTCTAAACACACAAGAAGATAATGAACAGCATCCCAGCGAATTTACAGAAAGAATAATCCACAGGTTTTTTTGTGGTCCTCTCTTTTACTCCACCTGGAAGCAATGGACTTAGGCAAGTCTGTAGGGCACGTTAGTCCTAAACGGTTCCATTTTAGGCTACAGCAGCTGTCTCGGGATTTTTCCAGTAGCCAGGGAACACAGAATCCTCAGCTATGTCCTTTCATAAACTCCAGGCACAGAGAAGTGGGACCTACTTTTTTTGACTCTTATCAAAATATTGCCTGACAGAGTAGTAGTATGGGAGTTTTACCTGCAAAACTCCCATTCATGAGACTGTGCCTGGAGTTTATGAAAGAAGTGGCACCTACTTTTTTGACTCTCTTATCAAAATATTGCCCGACAGAGTAGTAGTATGGGAGTTTACCTGCAAAACTCCCATTCATGAGATAAATAAAGTATTTTAACAGTGATTTTTACAACTCCATGGTGATAAATACGCATATACATCTTTATATAGTTATATTTATATACTTAAATTTAATAGCCTTGATTCAATACTAGCATTTATTGGCATTCTAAACCAAGTATCTACACTAAAATTAAGGTATATTCCCAGCAAAAACAAGTGTTGACAACACTACTTTAAAGTTGCAATGTGCTCAACTAGAAGCACAAAAACTATGGTATTAACATTTATTCAACTGCTACATGGTTTCTTGAATCCTCCCTTCTCAATACAGAACTGTATGAAAATACAATTACTTTGATAATGCTGATTTTCTATTTGAGTAACTCAAATGATCAAATATATGGCACCACCTAGCAATTTGGAAGACTGTGCCACTTGAGCTTATGAGAATGTCATTTTACTGACTTCAGTATTTCCGCATAGGACAAAAAAGAAAGAACAACTTTAAGTACATGCACTAATAGTAAAATCAGCAGCAAGTTAGTTTTCAGCTAACCAGTTAGTGAAATGAGGGTTCTTTACCAACAAAGATCAAAGTCACACAGAGAAGGACCCTAGCGAGACGAGCTGATAATTCCTGGTAGCCAGCCAGGTAAGAAGTTGAGTATTTTATTTTGCTTTAGTGCTTAACTATTTGATTAAGCACCTTTGGTGCTCAATATTTGTTTATTACTAATGTATTAATAGTCTGCAAAGGATACACAAATGTCTATTTCTGAAAAGAATAGTTTATTTTACCTGGGACAGTAATTCCTCCTTTTCTCCAGCCAGTTTTCGTAGCCGGACATCTAAAACCAGAGAACCCAATTAAAAAATAGATCTGTAACTAAGAACATGTTTTTCATAGCTTTTTGGTCATCTTCCAATAAAATGCTCTTCAAACTTAAAGCTAATAGCATGGGGAGCATAAAACTTTGGTAACTCACTAATAACAACATACCAGCCTTCAGTTAATAGCAGAAAAAAAAAAAGGGAAAAATATTTCATCACCCTGTTTAATACTATAACAATTCTTACAGCAAGATCTCCAAGTTTAGTAATTCTCCAAAGTAAATTAATAGCTGAGGACTTTTTAAAATAATAAAACAGTTTTGTCCCAGTATCTAGAACAGCAATTGCCAACAAAATTTTCTTCTGATTGTGTACTCTTTTCCCTGTCTTTTTCTCAAAGATTCAGGGAAGGCACTACGCTTCCCCATATGTTTAGAAAATTTGTAGGGAGTGTTCTCAAACCACAAAACAAGTCCTTGGGAAAGGACCCACAGGAATGCTGCAATATCTCTAACGCGCCAGAGGATCAGAGATGGCTACAAAACAGTCTGTCAAGCAACACGCGCTAAGATTAGAGCGGCTCCCTTGGAAATCATAACTTTGACAGTAACAAAGCATAAAGACATCAGTATTTCACTATGATGGAGCCACAGCAGAAATGTGTATGAAGTCTAGTATCCGTCAAAACAAAAATATGTAACTAGTATTATACGTTATGTACAAATACGATGCAAGTGTATAGAGAAGTTTCTTTGCATGTTAACTAACAGAGTTTTACAGTGGATTGACTATGCATACAATAACTTGTTCAACTTAAGGATAAAAGCAAGAAAAACCTGTATCTTTCTGTTGCCTGTGTCATTTTTTTAATGTCTTTAAAAATTTTTTTTATTTCTAATGAATGTGATGAAAGACTGCACTTGCTTTACACTAATAAATGCAGAAGTATTTCAAGGAAGGGGAAAGACTATACAATGCATTGCTTTCTATAACAGAAGTTCTTTCATTGATTATACATACTTTTAAATAATTTTTTTTTCATGAAACACACTTGAAAACAACAATCAAAAAGACTACGCTTTTAGGCAAGATATTTTCTGACAGTAATAAAACAGAAACTGGACCAAGAGATCTAATCAGTTACAGATATCCAAGCACATACTATTACTTTTTTTACTTAGCATAAAAAAAATAAAATCACAGTCTTTAAAGTTGTGTAAGCATTGATTCTAGAAGCATCACAGGTATCTTTTTGTGGCTATAAATCACAACCCACTGTGAACATAAGGGAAACAAAGACTTCAAGCACTCTATAAAGTACATTAGGATATTTTTTACCTAGTGGTCCTTCTCCTGCAGATTCCAAGACTTGAGCAGCTTCCTGCGATACAACTGTTATTGCACCAACCACCGACTCATGGTTTACATCACCATTTGGTGTGCCATCTGGAATTATAACTAATCCATGTTTCTAAAAATACAAAAGAAAAAAAAAAGCTACTCATACAAGAGCAGTGATAAAATATAATTGGACAGAAAAGTTTTTAAAAAGCTTTTTAATTTGGTCGAAACAGTTACAATGAAATACACCATTTATCCTACCCTAAGGTCAGGTTTTGAGACTGCACAATAGTAACCATTCTTCCTTTTTTTCATTGACCTTGATTTCATGCCCCATTCCTGGATTTCTGTTACTGTAAAGTAACTACTACCAACATACCTCTCCTCTCTTCATTGTTTCCTTCAGGTCAGCCAACTCCTCTCTGAGCTCATCTCGCTCATTCTTAATGCAGTCAAAGTAATCTTTCTGTCTTTCTAGGGCCTGGGTTCAGGCAGATAGCAAGAAAAAGAATAGTACAGAGAAAAAGCATATGACAGATAGCAGAGAGATTTTCTACAAGTAAATACAAAAAGCTCAAAAGTAATTAAGAGGGGTATTTAATATATATAAGCATACATCTCATGACTACCTTTTGCCAGTCACATATCTAACTGCATCGCTGCATGTTTGTCATGACATAGTTTTTTCCCAGGCGAGTCTTAGTAGATTCTACAATAGATTTTTATTTAGTGGACTCTATTTTTGGTAGATTTTGATAAACTAAAACTGAAGACCAAAAGAGTAAGTGATTCTTCTTAATACAGGCACTCTGTGGCCAAAAGTAAAATATGCTGGAACTCAATTGGCAAATATCCTAAAACATTACATTTATTGAACTAATTTCTCTACTTTTTATAAGGTATAGAAGTAGAAATCTTACTTCATAAAAGACCTTGGATATATAAGCTTGTCATCCACTTACAAATACTGGTTTATTTACTACTTGCTTGCGTATTACAACCACTCTTTACTAAAACCAAAGCAATCGGTTTTAGAGGGGCGGAGAGGGGGGGAGCAGGAAACAGTAGCAGCACTATTTTAGCACAAGAAAGAATTGCAGCTAAAAGTGCAATACGGACATAGATGGGTTTGCCTACCTATGCTGGAGCTGTGTTACCTGGCAGTCAACCAGACATTTTCACTTGACTGGGCAGCATCCCAGTATTCCATTCAAATTCAATACTGCATGCGTTACAAATAATCCTGACCACACAGCAACTGCTACAGCGCACACACATTTTGCCAAGAAAATTACCCAACTAAACCCTGCGCCATGCACAAATGTTTAGGAATGGAACTGATACAAAGAAAGAAATGAAGGTGTGTATACCTTTGTATTGTAATCACTCCACATAATTGCAGTATGCTGAATTTTAATAGTTATCTAGAAACTGCATATTAGAGCAATGTTTTAATGCATTACGCTTAATTTCAACAGAAAAGTTTAAGTGCTATTGCACTTGATTTATTAGTATGTAAATGTAACATTTGAAATACAGGTAGTTCAACACGGGTGAAAGCATTAGCTGTCACATCATAGTTTAACTAAGAATTCATAAAATGTCCTTTTATTGCCTAACACATACTAGATCTCTGCAAATACATTATAAACAGTGTGAAGAACCTTAATCATTACATCATTTTGTGTTCCACTTAAAGATAACATGCACCTTTTCCATTTCTGAAGAGCAGCAGCAGAGACAGAGGGGGGAAGTAAGCTCACACCACGTAAGAGAATGGACACAAAGGCCCAGAATCACACTGCAGACACAGATCCTCTGTGTGAGTGGCAGTGCCCTCTGATGCTGCTGACCCTCCCAAAACATCCTGTCTATCCTCACCTCCTATGCGCAAGTGATGGAAATGAGAAAATGTTGATGGGGAAGGAAGTTAAACTGATATAACCGTATATCTCTACCTACGGAGAGACTAGCAATCATTATTCAATGTTGAAAAACTTTAGTAGTACTGATAGTGTTTGTATGTTACGGGGTTATCATACTTGACATGGATTTTGTCTTAAATCTACTCCTGCAATTCTTCTACCGTGGGGCAGGGAATAAAAATCAGGCAACTAAGCTCTACAGGCATGTTTGAACATACCATTATGATTACAATCTGATCACTTGGCAGAAAGCAAACTTGTCTGTGGTCCTATTTTCTAAATAAACCAAAACCCTTCACAAAATCTACACTAAACTCAGACATGCCATTGCTAATTTCAAATTGGCAATGCACATACAATTTGGAGCCAAACAGTAAACAGCTGTATATTTCAGGAACATAACCTGAAAGGTATAGTTCAGTGTCCTCAAATTGATCTAATTTAAGACCAAATAAGACTGCAAATTTCAATCACTTTGTAGAAACAGGACAGTGTAAGAAGGCAGGTGTAAAACAGACTCAGGTTATCTCTGTTCCGCTTGCCTCCCTTTCTTCCTCTGAGGCAGCATCAGTCTTGCATACATTGTAAAACTAGGTTACAATTCTAGTTATAAACTACTTTGTGAAGCTTCTCAGACTGATGAAGCTGGAATAGAGTAAAAAAATAGCAAAATGAGTCAGTATTGGGGAGAAAGACTCAAAAACAGTGAGCTAAGAAAAACACGCAAGTGTTTTTAGATAGCGGAAGTGAGAAAGAAAAGACAGCAGCATTTTTACATTTTATGAACTAAGAAATTTCAATTCCAAGATGGTATAAAAATAAAAGCTAGAAAAAAAATCCAGTTATGGTGTTTACAAGAACACAAAAACTGGCAGGAAAATTTTAGCTAAAGGAAAAAATATCCTTCTTGTCAGTCTGTCTGGTAGCTAGTTTTTTTGAACATTAGATAGATGATATCCTCTGTACTAACTCTAGCAATGAATTCAAAAGAGAAAAAAGTGCTTGCACAAAAAAATTGCACAAATTGGGACAGGCCAGTACACAAAGGTGAAAGGTAAGCAGGGAAAGAACATGGTTAATTAAAGATAAAAAAAACCTTTTCAGAATACTTTTCAAAAGAAAATTTAAAAGTGTTGAAATACTATTTTATGATGGAAAAGAGGTTTGCAAGATGGATTGAAGGACTGAAACATGACATAAACATGGACAAAATAAAGGCAGGATAACAGGGCTTTTTTTTAACTGGGCACCACTGGTTAAAAGACAGCTTTTCAAAGTGACTTGAACTCCAGCAAATACACAGATTTCTTTGAAAATTGCTGTAAGTTAAAATCTGGTGTAAAATTCATTTAGTTAGAGAGTAAAGTCTCGAAAGTCACTAAAGAACAGACAATTCCTTTCTAAAGGGTATCTAGCTAACTCACCCTCACCACTTGCGGCCCAAAACAGCCACAGGTTCAGAGCCATGTAGTTATCACCAAGGATCAGGCTGACTCTGAGACAATTTTACCCCTTCTGTAATGCCCAGAAGCAAAGCTGACGAACTCTGCCTGACCTACGTTAGCTGTGCAGTTCATATCAACTCAGTTTTATACGACCTTCCTTTCTACGCAGAAGTCCTACAGATGCTCCTCAAAAGGTCCCATGCAACGCCACTGTTTCGATACCCACTATGTCAGAATTGAGAGTTGGAAACTCTGGTATTTTGTTTGCAGTATCACAAAAACGCCTTCGGTCAGTGTTGCATCCAAGCTAACCAGCCCTCGAAGGGTCAGAAGTGCAATTCAGCACTGTGCAACTGTGGCTGCAGAAATCAACTCAAGATCGTATTTTTTAGCGCTAGGTATGCCAGAGGTAAGCACTACCTACAAATATTCACGGAGGCTTCTCTACATTTTGACCCTAAGCTCTTGCAGGTCCCTAGGTTTTCCATTATTTGGGGTATTTTGTCTCTCTTATCCCAGGTAGGGGAAAGCAGAGCATTTTAAAATCCACTAATTGTTATGCAAATTGTTAAGATGAGGAGAGAGGCAGGAGCCAAATGGCAAACAAGGCTTAAACTGGTCAAGTTTTGAAAATTGTCTTTGCCTCTAAGGAGATTAAAAGCTTTAACAATAATTTCAAATCTATATCAAATGGTATTACTGCTGTGTCACTATGGATCAATATACAGACCCAGGCAATTTTCACATTTGTTAAGAACAAGGAAATCATGACTTTTCTAAGCCCTGACTACAGGTAAAAAATATTTTGTAAAAAGTTATAAAATTGTACGCGTAACAGTTTATTATCTGATAGATTTAATTAGCATTATTCACCATTATGCAAGTAAAGATGAAGTGGAGTTTCAGAGAAAGACTGAAAACGTTTTAAATATTTAAATTGGGAGTGGCCTTCATTTCTTTGGAGTACACAGCATTCCTTGGGGGATGGGGGGCAGCCATCTACTTCTAAAATGAAAAAATACCTTTCCCCCCATATTTGTTTCATACCCCTATTTTTTTATCTTTCCAATTAATTGTCTCCTGGAGATCAAACACCTCTTTGGTTATGGAGTCTATATTCTGCTGCATGCGCTGATTCTCCTGTAGTAAATAGGATGAGGAAAGAATAAAAGAGGAAAGAAAAGTAAGGAAATGGAAAAAAAAGCATTCAAACAGGTAAATGAAATTAAATAGTAAAAGTCAACCAAAGAGTTTATGAGCACGAAGTTAAAGAAAAAGGGTGCTACTAAGTGTAACATAGTATTTCCCTCATGAATTCATGCAAGAGAATGGTAATTAATTTTACTCAGTCACTTAATGTTGATGGGAGAATTTAGTGTAACTAGAGTTTCTTTTCTTTAGTAACAGTTCCCATTGCAGACTGGGGATAATGTCCTTTCTTTAGGAAAATAATCACCCTGTGGTAATTTCCAGATACCTTCAAGTCCTGTTTGGAAGTGAACACTTACATTAACAAGTGGTTTTATTAGTATTTTACAAAAGAGAAAACCTTCTTGAAAGTATAAGGAAAGAAGTTTGAATCAAGCATATCCACAAAGTGAAATACAGCTGGTGACTGCTTTCTGATACTATATTAATATATATTAAGCCTGGTCCTATTTTTTACCTGACGAACACTGCATTTTGCTGTTTGTCCTGCAAATGTAACTAAAACTCTTTGCTTTGCTCATGTAATTATGTATGAAGATGACATAAGAATTTTTAGGGCTAGAAATAATTTTTTGCCTTCCTAATGAGTGAACTTGATTTTACATCTGGGAATGGAAGACAACATCTTTCTGCAAAAAGCTAAATGGCTTCAGCTAGTTTAGCTGTTGGTATTAATAGCTGGAGAAGTTACTCAAATAAATGGAAAATATGGGGCAAATCTTTCACAGAACTACACACATTTGGTGAATATTCAACACACATATGCTACATTCTACCAAAGCAAACACTCCAGACAAATCTATTGTATATTCTTGATTTAGATACTTTTTAAAAAAACAAATCAAACAACCAAAGAAGAAAGTATAAAGTGTTTGGATTTTTTTTTCCTTCTAGTGAAGTCAAAGAGAATGCAGAGCGAGCGAGAGAGCTACAACCAGAATTTCCCTAGTTTTTGCTTGTCGGCAATTATCTGCAAAATGCTACTACTTAGGCTAATCTTACTCCTTTTCTTCTGCTATTAAGTCATATCAACTCCCGTTCATGAAGTATATTATTTTCTCAGTAACCATAACAGATCTGGGACTCTTCAGAAGTCTTTTGGAGTTACTGTACTACCACCTGGAGAGTGCAAGAACTCAATGAGGAAAGAAATCGATCAATGAAACACACTATTATATAGCTTTCGAAAATCAGGTAGTGGAAACTTTGGTTCATACACTTAAGATCATCAATTTTTACTCAAACCAAAAGGCAGTGGGAAAATGATGTACGAATTGAACTACAACTTACAGTACTAGAAGCAAAATCAATGCGAAATGGACACCCACGCGCTGTTGACAATGTGTATCTTTGTGGACCATTTTAAAATTAAGACTGATACTAGCACTGGGATTTTAGGGCACATTTCTTCTGGAAGCATATCAAAGCAGGGAGAGGGGAAAGACAAAAACACACCACACACCCATCAATATGATTATGACCCAATAACATATTGATCAGTGTTCCTATATTTATGCTCAACTGGTAAGCAAACAAACATTCACTACTGCAAACTTCAGTGGTTGATGCTCACAAAAATCTGAAATAGCTGAAAGGAAATTTTTGGAAAATGCAAAGAATAATATTTGGTGTTATTCATGCATCAGAACTTCTGATTTTGCAAAAAGACTTTGGCCATACAAACATTAGTTCTACCCTCATGAGCAAGGAAAGATACAAGGAACATTCATGAGAGAACCACGATTCTCACAGTAATTAAAGATTTTACACATTTGAAAACCTTGCATAGACATTTTCAACTTCATAAACTGAGAGATTAATAACTTCAATTCTACCCATTAAAACAAGATAAATTAATTCTTAGAAATGCGAGATAATATTTAAGGTCATTTTGTGTATGATGGTTGTTCCCATTCAAATCTTACACCATATTTATTTGCACAAGTTCTATCATGCACGTACCTCTATCTTATATGAACATACCTCTATTAATTCATCTCTCTGTCGAAGGCCCTCTTTAAGTTCATCCAGCTTATGCTGTAGAACACTGCACGTGTGTTTCTGTCTTTCCAATTCCTATATTAAATCAATGATTTATTTTTATTTATTTTGGGTTTGACACTCATTTTCAATATAAAGTTTAAAAAGTTAGCAATATCACTTAAAATTACCTAAGAAATTACTGCAACAATTTGAGATATTCTGCCTACCAAGTGGCTAAAAATCACAGAATTGGTGTTTTAGGTAAGCTCTCTAGATACTTTGTATACCAAAGATTTAACAAAATTTAGACTGGAGAGAAAAGATGGCATAAAGGTTTAAGCACAGTATTAACAAGAAAAGCCTGGTTACTGAACTTAGCTAAATATTGCTGGAAAGAGCTCCCACACATCTTTCTTTTCCAAGAAAGCGGGACTGAACATGTCCTATCCAATTCAAATGCATATTTTATTAGTATATTGCATTTAATTAATGCAATTCATTTGCATTTAATTGGGGGTGGGGTGGGATATGTTTTGGGGTTGTGGTAGTGGTGGGTTTGGTTTTTTGAGGGGGTAGGTAGCTGGTTTTTGAAACAAAAAAAACCCAACCCAACAAAAACCAAAAACCCAAAACAAAATAAAAAACCCAACCCAAACACAATACTCAAAACATCTTTGGCCACTGAGACAGACAGAATTTTCTACTGATGGAAAAGTTTAACCGTTGTTACTAAGTAGCCCAGGCTTCTACGGTTTATCTTAATAATTAGGGAAAAAAAAAGTCTTAGAAAGCAGTACCTTTGACTTCTCTTCGTTCTCCCTATAGTACTCTGCTATCTGTTCTTCTTTCTCTTCAATGACATCCTTTAGAGTATCCACTTGGTAAACCAAGTTGTTTTTCTCATTGTCTAGTTGAGCATTGGAAACCATAGCTTTCTTATACTTCTCCTCAACTTCAGCTAGCGAATCCTATAGACAGTAGAAAGGCTTACATTAGTCTGACTTTTTGATGTATTGTTATAATGTTAAAATACCACCATAATGCTGAAAAGTGCTGTTAGGCAGGAAAATTACATAACCATTTTTGTTTCTGAATTATTCACGTCTTCTCTTTAGAAATACCAAGTCAGAGTTCAGTTTCATTATTCATGTTGTCATACACAACAATGAAAAGTTACTATTACAAAAGTATGAAAATTACAAGATAACATTCCACATGCATTTTCTACTCTGCTACCTTCACAACTTAACTCACAGGGAGAAAAGTAGTAATATCACAGCTTTTTTTGTATTTTCAGTGCATGCACAAGAAAACAATTCAGAAAGAGGCAACAAATCTGAGAGAGAGAACTCAGGCAATTAAATGACTAAAAAAGATCACAGAAATATATGCAATAGTAGCTTTAACTTAATGCTCGTTAAGTGGTGCTCTATACCTCAGATTCAAAGTTTTAAGGTAGTCACACTTTTAAAGTAATAACGTTTCTCTGTTTAAGCAGGCATTTTGTCCTTCTATTTCTTACTAAGGTTTAAAAAAAAAAAGGCATGTAAAGAGTCACATGCTTGATTCTTTACCTGAAGGTGCACATATGCCTTACTACATACCTTCTTACACAATTCTCCCACATTTACCAAAATTAATTTATACTATTATTTTTTTCTCAGTACTGTAACAAACATCAACTATTCAAATACTAGTACAACTATCACTCCAGACAGTTTTAAACATGCAATGATTTCAATATGCATGCTTTTAAAAAGACAAAAATTGAGTTTGAGTCCTAATTTTAGGCTTGAAAAAGAACTATCAAGCCATTCCCTTTCCAGAGTAGATCTGTGCCCTACTACAAGTCCCCTAGTGTATCATGTAATCTGTTCTTTGAAGGTATAGGTAGCATAACCTCCATGTTTAATTATTTGTATTACGACAGCAGGAGTACTAGCACAGGAAGGGCACCAGGCTTGGGTATTCCAGAAAACTGAGCAGGACTAAGATATTAGAGAAGAAAGTGGTAACAATCTAAGTTTCCCAAGAAAACCTAAAAGAACCCAACCCCCAAACCCTATTCCATATTAGAAATATCCATTTTGAGAAAGCTGTCCTTAAAGTACATATTTTAACTTTTATAACTTTTTCAGTCACACATATTTATTTCTTTGTGGTCCATTCACTAACTTCTGGAACCTTGTGCTGGAGAAAAACAGTATTATAGAAATCCCAGAAAAAATAACTGAAGACATATCCTGATAAACTCCGGATAAGAAGAGATGAGACAGTATAAGTAGTGGAAAGATAAGAAAGGTACCATTATCATCTGGGAAGTAGTAAATAGCAAACAGCAAAGACGACTCATGATGAGATGGAAGAAAATGAAAAAATAAAATGCATTCCAGTAATTCTTAAGTTTTAGATTAAAACCACAGAAAACTTTGTGATGGTGGAAACATGACAAATCTTGTAAAGATTGGTAAAACAAAATGTCAGAGACAGTAAACCTTCCAAATACAAATACAACTTAGAGGAAAAAGGAAAATATTAGGATTAAAATGAATACTATAGTCCTTTTACGGGGAGATACGAAATTTAACAGAAAGTACAACTAGGAAAAAATTCCAATTTGATTGTTTCTGTGAGGACAGTGAGCAGAGTCATGTAGTAATTTAGATTGGCAAAGATCTCTGGATGCCATCTGGTCCAATCTCCTAATTAAACAGGGCCAGCCAAGATCAGGCTGCTCACAGCTCATCTCCAGCTCATTTTAAGTATCTCCACGGATGCAGACTGTAGAACCTGATTGGACAACCTGTTCCAGTGTTTGACTGCCTTCCTTGTGAAGTCTTTTTCTCAAGGTCTAATTGGAATTTCTGCCCTTAAAATGCTACTTTTCTCTGTTTTATCTTGCCCTGTCACTGTGCACCTCTGAAAGGAGTCTGCCCTGTCTTCTCCACAGCTTCCTATTAGGCAGCTGAAAACAGCAATGATCCTGCTGCTCACACCTTCAAGACTTATCAATTCCAGTTGTCTCAGCCTTTTATTGTATGCCATGCGCTCCAGAAGTCCAGCCTTAAAGAGGAGACTAGTTTGGGGCTTAAAAGACTGGATTAAAATGTCATTATTCAATGGGAGAAAAATCTGCAGTTATGGAAGAGAAACAAATTGATTTTGAGACAGAAGAGTGAGAATTGCTTCCCAGAAAGAAACCAAGCTATGCCTAAGAGTGTTCGACCAGTTAAAAAAAACTGCAACATTGCTAAGGCTTCTTTGGACCTGTTGCTTTTTTTCAAGTAAAGTATTACACGTGTGTCCCTATGGTTAAAGAATTCCATGTAGCTTCAGTAATCTTTTAGTTTGGTGAGAAATAATATGAATTTGGAAGAATTTCGGAGGCACTTGAACGAGGCAGTGGGATGCCTAAGGATGAAACAGCAAGAATAGGCTGCAATGAAAAGCAGATAATACAGCTCTGCACCTAACCTAAAGCTATGAAGAAATACCACCCACAATTCCATCAGTAACGCCAGAGGGCTATGCAAATTAGCCTGCTTGGCTATAACAGAATGATTAAACCCAGCAGACATCTAGGGAGTGCTCTGTTAACTGCATAAAAGAAAAATTCTAATGAAAGAAAAAAGATTGCTTTCTAGTTGGTGCAAGGGAATATAGAAAGAATCAACAAAAGCGAGTCAAACTGAGACATGAAAAGATCTGAAGACCTAACTATCCACATTAATTTATTCTGCTGACACCCAGCAGATTTGTAGCCAAGTAAAAACCACTCTCTTAGCAGCATAAGGGATGGGCAACCACAGAGATATGAAGGTAGCGTGATTACAAATCACTGTTACTCAACCACTGAAAAAATACTTAAGTGCAAAAGCAGGTATCCTAGTAACTCTAACACACACAACAAAACTGCTAAATCAGAAGTTGAGAAAAATGCAATACCTTCCTACTTAGAAAGGAGGGATTCTGAAGGAATCTCTACAGAAGGCAAATTAACTTAGGAACATATTACTTAGTATTAACAAAAGCATAAAATGCAATTCAATTTTGTGAGCCAAGCATAGATCGAGATCTTACTGTCTATTGCACACCTGTGCTCTTTGGTAACTGTAATGGATTACAATAAATAATAGCAGATTAGTAATGATTCAGAACAGGAATCACGAGATGCTGGCAAACATGCAAAAGTGTGAGTTAGATCCATTCTGAAAATATGAAGCAGTCTCATGTTTTATTCAAGTTTAGTACAATCATAGCTATGCCTAATCATCTTGTAATCTATTGCTCTTTGAAGTCCTTTTAACATTATATGGCAAAATGATTAAAACAAGATCTACTTCAATGAGCATAAGGCTACCAGATTCAAAGTTACTCATCCTCTAAAGAGGAAATAATTTTTGCTACACTGAACAGCTCAAATCACATATTTTCTCTTTACTATACCATCTAATATGTTCCTTAACCAAGAAAGTCAAGGAAGCTGTTAGTTACATGCTCTAGTACAAGCAGCGTTCATTAAATTCAGTCTCCATATGGAGATAAAACAAATATGGAAAGATCTCTTTATTTCTACATGGAACAGTTCACAATTAGATAACAGCAAAGAACAGAACAAGTATCTTGAAAAATATTTGTCAGTCATATCATTTGCTGCATTCAGTTTCCCTTCAACACAGAAGAAGGAAAAATAATCATACTTTAAACTAACTGCAAACTTAATTGTGTGAAAATCTATAAAAGAAAAGCATACATAGCAATTTAAAGAAATCAAAATAAAACCAAAACTCTAACTTAATACCGATACCAGCCTATTCTTTGTCTAAATTATGGGAATGTAAACCATTAAAAAAAAATCCTTCATAATAGCAAAGGATTAAAACAAAATTAATCTTCTCCTGCAAGCAATATGCCTGCCCGGATTTATTTCAGCACATCTTGCAAAATATAAAGCAAAACCAAAGTAATAATTTTGAATTTGCTGAAACTTGGAAGGCTAATTCTTAAGTTCTTGGTCATAACTATATCCTATTTCTTTGTTCTTCATTCAATACATAGTAATTATTTTGAATATCCATTTATTTGCTTACAAAACTCTGAAAAATATAAATTAAACCTCTCATTATCTTATCAAAAACACCTGCTAAAAATATGAAAGTTAATACTATTTTAACATAAATGGAATAATGAACATATACTATCTCATGGACATGTAAATCATACCTTAGTTTACTCACATAACAAATTTAAGAGGATGGTCTCTATGCATTAAAAATTAGATACATGCTTTAAAGAAATTTACAAACTTGTTAGTAAAGCCTTATATAGTTAGTGTAACCAGTGGTATCTCCATTACCCAGAAATACCCATACAGAATGCATGCTTGGGAGGAGCCCTGATACCTTTAGTTCTTTAAGTCCCTGCATGTATCTCCCTTCTACATCGTGTATCTGGTCCTTAAGATCATAGATATCCTGCAGGACATAGGAATGAACCATTGCATAAGCAGTATGGGGAAATAATTGATAGTCGAAAAAGCATTACAACGTTTTACATGCATTTCTGTCAAATGCCAAAGCCTGCAATAATTCACAGAAACTGTAATTCACAACTTTATGTAAATTAAGATTTTATTTGTATCCCTGAATCCAAGCCATCTCAATAGGACAGAATTGTTTCAAATTTGGCATAAACTAAGTCTTATTTTAAGCTAAACTATTAGCACCATAAATATTGATGAAAACAAATACAAGTACCAAGATAAATACAGAAATCTTTCATGATTAAAAATCACATCCTCAAAACTTCTTCTTACTATTGAGAAACCAGAAGTTCTGTAGCAAAGAAAAAAGCCTCCTAACCACAAGTACAATTTCAAATTAGCTCCAAGTTCTCTAAAAATGCAGTTTACCCGTAATTCACTGAGGGAGGCATCAGGATCCACCAAACTGCTCGTGTCTCCACTTCCTCTCCTAGACGAGTTGCCGCTCAGAGGAGTTACACTTACTGAATTGCGAGATGATGGCTTAAAAAGGGAAAAACACTGTGTCAGGAATCATATCGTCATTTCTGGTATACTTGACATTATAAACTGCTTCACAGTCATAAAACATTTTTCTCTCGTTTTTACTATTTCTTAATATTAGCTAATAGACAATATTTTCCATTGGTTATTTTTCAGCATTTATGTTTTTCCTTGGTGAAACATTGGTTTCTCTTTGATGACTTAGCAGTTACCATAACATTACAGTTTTGAGTCTTCTGTTCAGAAGACTTTCATAAGGAGGCTGTTAGTGCTGAAAAACTGTAGAAGCTTAAAGTATTTCTAAAAATTATAATTACTGCCACCCAGGATTCAGCAGAAAGTCTCCAGGGGAACCTAGCATATGAATTTTCATAGCCCTACCCTCTTAAAATTCAACCTTTCCTGCTAAATATCTCTCACACAGAATATAAATTCCATAAGAAACTAATACTTGCTAAAAGTAAACTAAAGAATAAAATTCTTTCCCCAGGAAATAAAAGACTCAAAGCATTAACTTTGTAGATAAAAACCATGTCTAAAAATATCTCTTTGCAAGCTCTTAAAAATGACACTCTACTAAAAACACACAGCATTTTTACTTTTCGAACTATTTTAATACTTGTGAATTTAAAGCTAAACATTGACTTACAATAATTTTTAGATTAAAAAGTCTTACCCTTGAAAATATTTCTGAATGTGATTTTTCACTCTTTTCTTCCAGCTGAAAGAAAAAACAGACACCGATCACAATACACCTTTTGCAATGAGGGACTACTGAATCGCCATCTTCTGTTCACAGATACTAAGAAATATTGAAGAATGAAAAACGAAACAATGAAAAAAATTATGAAATTCCAGAAGTTAGAATAGATCAAGACAAGAAAAATAAACATTCAGCCTGACAAAGTAGTTTTTACCTCAACTACAAAATAAGTGAAAGCTTGTAAAGAAAAAGCCAGAAACCTTTTTTCTTTTTTTTAAGAAGTCTTTACCCATATTAAAGTACTGATCAACAAAATATGTTTCAGTATTTTAAATTTCAACAGGGTAGTGACTACAACACTTGGTGGCATAACACACACAAAGCTTCATGCAAGTGCACTTTAGACGACCAGTGACACCAGTGTGAATGTCCTAGTTACTAGAAAACACATTTGTTCTTCCAATCTCTTTGGTGAAACCTGCAATTACGTCAGGAGAAAAATAATTCAGGTAAAAGCCCATAAATAAAGTGTACTAATTAAGAGCAACCTACAAAATAATTTCAATTCATACTGAAACAGAACTACCAGCCTCATTGTTTAGGAAACTCTGATACTGCAAACTTATCTTGTAGATTTCCATATTTTTCTACATTTCCACAAATCAAAATAGGTGGAACTAAATAAAAACAGTAATATGTTGCCGTATTTCCTAAAGAAGTATGATACATCGAGTATGGTACCAGCTGTTTTTCTCCCAGCCCAGGGTCAAAAGATTTGGAAGTCTGCTGAGTATGGTACTGTTTTTCTCCCAACCCAGGGTCAAAAGATTTGGAAGTCTGCTACGATCACAGCAGAAACAAATGTTACTTTATGAGATCTTTCTTTTCCTTCTATTGTGGTTTCTGCAGAAGCAACGTTGCATTTCCATGGCAAATTCACCATCTCCAATGACACACTGAAATGGTAAATTGCAAATATTTGTCACCATTGTGACAATTGTAAAATGATGTCAGGAATCCAACTGATGTGAAGCATCCATTTAGAATAGCTTAAATAAAAATACAATTTTGGAATCTAAGAATACAAAATAATGATAATAGTAAAAGCCAGTGAGAAGGTACCATGATTGCCAGTCTCAGCCTCCACATTTTCTTTTAGCAGAGCATTAATGTCAGAAAAGCAGGTTTATTACAGAGGAGAAAAAAATGCTAAAATTTAAACTGGAGAAATGATTGGTCTATGTCATGCTTTGAGCACATACAGATGATAAATACCATTGCATTATTACAATACAAGTTACACAGCACTATAAGGGTATTAAATCATCTAAATGCATAATCACAGAAATAGTGGTTGTTACGGGTACTCTAGCAATCGCTTACTCCCTTCCACAGCAGAACTGCTGCCAACAGTCCAGGTTAGCTGTGGCTTTATCTAGCTAAGTCTCAACAGCTCCTGAGGACGAAGGTTCTCCGACTTTGCCGTAACCTGTCAGAGTGCAACACAAACTTCCTTCTGGAGCTCCTTCTTCCACTGGTTGTTCTGAACCTCCTAAGCTGCAGTGTGATGTTGCTGCCCCTTGTTGCACTGCTTCGCACGGGTAAGAAGAGTTTGGCTTTTACCTAACCAAGCAGTTGCAGGCTGCTGACCACCAGGCAGCATCCCCTTTGCCCAACTAAATAGCCTAGATCCTCAACTTCTACTGCATGTGCTAACACTGTTACTTCAAAGACATGCCTAAGAACAAAATTTCCCTATTTATTCCACTATTAAACACAAAAGTTTCGACTGCAAGTAACAAGAGCTTCTAGAACTCATAGCAGCATTAAAGAGAAGGCAGCTAGGTTTGCTGGAAACAGTGTTCAGACTACAGGGATACACATGGAAGCGCTCCATTTTCCTGTGCCGTGCTCTATTGACTTGGGATTTGGTGGGAGAGCATAGCCAACAACAAGCGCTCCAGTAATGGATCTTGACAAAAATCTCATCCTGGATGAATGAACGCTAAAACACCCTAACGAGGGCACAGTTTTAAGTATTTATTTTTGTCACTAAACCAAATAGCAGTATTCCAAAAATACACCAAAGACCTAGACACTTAATTTCCACAAGAAAAAACCCAACATCTTACATTTAAGAGATTCTTAAGATTATCACACACAAAAAATGTGAAGTGTTAGCACTTGTCACATGCTTCTAGCAACAGGCAAAATCCCCTTTAAATGAAAGCAGCATGCTTTTTAAAAATTCAGGCTGCAGGCATTTTTACACAAAATATGGCCCCAACCCCTCAACAAACCTATTTGCCATTAAATAACTCGAGTGCTTTTACAGTATTTACTCTTTCAGAATATGAAAAGAAAATACATGGTTAGTAAGTTTGCTGTGTTCACCACAATGTAACAACAAGCATTACACTCACACTATTCAAACCTTGGACATCGTCTGCATCGGAAACAATGCTTCCCCTGCGGTTGGAACGACTAAAATAGTCAGCAGCAGTTTCACTTTGATCAGAAAAATCAGAGGACTTCAAAAAGATAAGGAGAAGGGTGAGAGACAACTGAAGATGATACCACAGAATGAACAGAAGTTTATTTAACAAGAACAAACAGGAAATCCTAACTTAAATCTCCATTATTGCAACTCATTCTAGCTTTTCTAACACTTTAACAATTGTAAAATCTTACTCTTTTAGATTTTTGCTATTTTAAATGCGGCTACATGAATAAAACGTGTGCCACACTGATATGTACACTTAAGTAAGCATGTGTGTTGTTTTTAAACAACCTCTTCACATGTTTATTATTCTTGTAGTTTACAGTATCTAAAAGTAAAAGCAATGAACATATTATTGATTCATTTTCCTCATTTAGAGTAATATAAAAAAGTACAGAGATACAAAAGGCTTTGGTACTAATATAGTGCCAAACAAGCTATAAAAATTACCTTTTTAAAAAAAAATTTTTAGATCATAAAAACAGATTATATAATCAGAAGCTGATAAATAAAAGTTACTATTTTTCCTCTATAAATGTTGTATTTTCTTCAAATCAATACAAATCCCAACACTACTAATTATGAATATGGTCAGGGCTTCCTATCATTCATAATTTTAAGAGGCCTTACAACAGAAGACAAGCTTACTCCCCTCAAAGTAAAAAGGTGAGGAAAAAATGCTAATGCTACACATCACTGGTAAAAAAGGCAAAATGTATCTAACCACATTACAGTCATTACAATGCCACGGGAATTCAAGTGAAATATTTAACTGAGAAAACATTATGCACGTTAAACATAGTATTTAATGAGAAGAGTAGGTTTATCCAAAATATTGATTTGAAAACAGTCTACTTCAAAAGGCAGAAAGTTGGTGTGAACGCTCTATTTAGTTTTAAAAGTGATTAGACAAAAAAAATATCTTTAAACTAACAGTTTGAAAATATACTGTCCTTATCCCATTTTCACAATTTTGAAAAAGAATTCTTAATTTTTTTTTGTACTTGATGTGAGCGATGTAGCCTCATCTTATTCCTATTAAAAGATAGTGAGATGCTTTTTATGCAAATGTGACTGGTTACGTATAAACCAGTTTGCTGATGTACACCTGTCTCAGATTATGCATGCTTCGGAATAAAAAATTTGTACTTTTTGCCACTTCTTGGTTTTGTTCCATTTCTCTGACAAAGAATTTTCAAGCTATATCTACATTTTAAATACATTTATTTTTTTAAATAACAAAGTAAAAGAATTTCACATTCAGAAAGTTGACTAAACTTTATTTCACTTGCATTTCACAAAGTATAAAGATGCTGAACAGGGTTCAGCTGGAATGAATGAAGCTTACAGCAAAAGAACAAACAACTCAAGGGCTGCAAACATAGTAACAACACTGTGCTTTTCCCCCCCATTCAAAACCAACTTATCTTTGCTGTTAAAAAGTCCATACATCTGATAAACCTTACTGTTCCCTCCTTCTATACCTTTTGCACTTCGAATATTTTTCTCAATGGGTTTATCAAAACAAATACAGTTTAAGATGGAGATGCACCATACAGTTTTTCACCAGTTTTCTACTGTTTCAATCTTCTCTCCTACTTTTCTCTTTCGATTTCCAGTGAGTACTGAGCTGACTTCCCAATGCACTACCAAACCAAAATATTAACCATAGAAAGAGTAAGAAGTGAAAGTTAAGAATAAGACTTACTTCACCTGCTCAATACCTTGTTTGGAATTATTTCATTAAACAAATACTTTGAACTCCATTAAACATTCACCAGTAGGAGTGAATGGTACCTTGGCATTATTATCACGTATACATCCTGAGATCTGATATATGTATTCCTACATACATATAAAGTATATAACGTTAAGATTCATTTCTTAAAAGTAAGAGAAACTAAGGAGACAAGTAGTATTTTCACAGTTCAAGAGACTTTAGAGATGGATGTTAACACCTCTTAGGTTTTGGAACTTCGTAAAGCAACAGGAAAATTCCCTTTTTTCTACACCCACAGAAATTTACTCTGACATCTTTTTTGGCTAAAACATCCAGCCTCTGACAAATCTGGTTTTATTTGTTTAGTCTCTATAACATTAAGAACATGCAAAAAATTAAAACAGGACAGGACATGTTGATTTAACCTATACCAGAACACTATTTAAACTATACCACAACTACTTTTTTATGTAGCATGACAAATGAACAGCTGTACCAATGAAATTAAGACAGCTGTTCCGCAGCAGAAACACAGTCGAACCACTTAAAAACACTTCGCAGAATAATAAAAAAAAAAAAAAAATCTTTGGAATGGCCCTTTTAACTCAATACAGAACCAGGACAAATTTCTCAGTTTTGAATACTGGTCACCATAAAAATGACCCAGCTACTTACCTAACCTACTTACCTAACAAAGTTTGCATTAGTCCTCTTGCCAAAAAAAGACTTTTGAGCATGTATTGTAGTAACAGTTTCATGCGCCTGCTCAACTATGACATAAAGTGGTAACTCCAACAACGTACTATAATCCAGTTTTCAATTGCTTCCAATTATATACATTACAAACATTTAAAAGATGTTTAGAAAAGCAAATTCCTTATTGCTTCAACATTTCACTGTCTTCCTGCTAAAAAGATCACATCTCTGACAAATCACATTTTTTGGATATGAAATTGAAAAAAAATGAGTCTGTGTGTTGGTCAGTAAAATGATCCCCAGTGTAAATATTCAATCATGGTGCGTTAGTATCAAAGCACTCAGCAAATCATGCAAGAGGAACGCTCACCACAGGACTACTTCGCACTGAGCTTGCTCTTGAAGAATAACTGTATTCAGATGGCTAAAGAAAAGTTACGAAGGAAATTTTCACAATTCTCACAGATTTTTGTTTTGAGAAAAAGATAATGAAAGAAACAACTAAAAGCCTATTACACTTACAGTCCGAGAACTATACGAGCTATGTAATCCATCACCACACAAAGATGCCTGAGAAAAAGGGAATGAAATTCCATTTATATTCAGTCTCAGAAATAATTATGCCACGCTCTCATACACTGTATTTTTTATGCACTGTAACGTACTCTACCTTATCTCATCTATGCATTTTCCAGTTAACATTATATTTTTTGACAGGATGAACAATTTCTCCAAGTTTCCAGCAGCATTTTCTCCTACTATTAGATGTCTATTTCCAAATATAAATCTAAGAATTTCCTTGAAAAATGGCCATTTAAAAAAATATAAATAAATCAGATCTTAACTATTTTCAGAAGAAAATTAAATTGAATACTTAAATCGCAATTTGGTTTTTACTGTTCTGAAATCTTCAGAAGTTTCAATCCACCCAGGGAACTGAAGCTGCATAGTATACTTATGAGTTTTACTTTGTGCTCACCCATGCAGATTTTCCTGAAGGAGACTTACGGTTGGACTCGACGATCTTAAAGGTCTTCTTCCAACCTAATTCTAATTCTATGGTGCAAGGCTGAAATCTATTTATGCAGTGGATAATAAAAGCAACTCTGGGCAATATAATTAAAAAAAAATAGTCTCATGCTGCTTTCCCTCTATCTATGAAGAGATGTCTAGCAGAAATTAGAGTTATATGTATATTAGAATTACATGTAACAGCAGTCATTATGGTCTTGTTCTCTCCCTGGATCTTCTAATGTTTTCTCAAGAATATGCACAAAACCAAAAAAGTTAGTTATGTCTGTTTGCAACCCAAATGCAGAACAAGACCTCAGTAACTACATTAGAAAATTTCATAACAATACTTGACAATTTTCTACATCAGTTTAGCATGTCTTTAAATAGCAGTACAAGTTGGATTTGAACTACAGCAACAAAAGGCATAAAGTTTCAGGCATGCATGTCACTTTTTAAAGATGATGACTTTTTGTAGAGCTATCTTAGCCATTCTTATGGTACTTCCAGCTACTTTTTATTTCGTAAAGATGCAGATTAGGTTTTCATCCTATTAGATTTCGTATGATTATTCAATTTAGATATGGCATCTTATTTGAAAATATTTAAAGTATATTTACCACAAATTTCTGTAATCTGACAATGATTTGTCCTGTTCAAACAGTTAGCTTAACTTCTTTAAATACTTTTTTTAGTATTACACATTTACACATGCACTTGTTATTTAGTATGCTTGGATTAACTTGTTCTAACCCCAGTGTTCAACATGACTGTCGTATTCATAAACTTTATGCTTGTCTGTAAAAAGATCAGTAAACCAGCAACTACTAAAATATTTGAGGCAATTTAACAGTGTTAAAAACATTAAACTGAATGCCTCCACAAAATGCCACACACACAAGCTGCAGCTTTATTTAAAAATATGAAAAAAATGCACATCTAAAACTGTCGAGCCTCATGGCCATACAATACGAATTTTAGGCAACCATGCAAATGGTGCTTACGAACCAAACTGATACTTCTTATCAAACCAGTGTTTACAGAAGGAGACACCTATGAAGAAAAGTGTAATTTTATATTGGAGGGCCATTCAAACACCTAAAGATAAGCAAGATATTATTTTACATTGTACTAACCCTGTAATTCCTAGTTGTTGCCACTGGATCACTGTATAGAGAAGACGACTGTAGTGTGAAGAATAGAGAAAGTCAAACACTTTTTCTGCGTAAATTATCTATTACTCTATATTCCCCAGAAGTTCCAAAACACTGAAACACTAAATTTTACATCTATCATGACAGCAAGTTAAAGATACACGTGGATATGCATTCTAAGAAAACCCATTATTCTCAAAATTTTAATCTAAAAAGTTAAAGTTGTGTAGCATTTTTATACGAAGATAAAAAATATAAAGAAGAAAATGGAAATCAGAAAATGGAAAATAGAAATCAGGTAGTTTTCAAAAGACACATCAATTTCCTCTTGCTACTTATTTAAACCTGACCATGACAATAGCTGCAGGTACTGGAAGATACTACCCATCTCAGAACAGACCATTGATTAACCATTTATATTACGGTAGAAGATGCTAAACTTAAGACTTTTTGTTGTTGCCGTTTTTTAAAACAGGGCTTTGAAAAAGGAAGCGTCACAGCTGTTAGTTGTCATCTTTATATCATAGAGTAATCACGAAACAGAAGCTATTTCAAATCAAAAACCCCACGTATGCAGAACAGAATAACTTGCATGTTATCCATTCATTTTATCAAAGGCAACCCTTAAAAGCAAGAAATACAATTGTAACTACTATTAGATGTAATAATTTGCTGTGTTATAAAAGGAAAGAGAGAGACATTTGCTTCTTACAGCATAAGTAAGCAAAATCAAATATATATATTTTATATACATAAAAAAGTGAATATAGGAAGAGGAGACAGACCCGAGTGTGGTAGGGAGGAGCTTTACTATATCTAAGGCTGCTATAGTTTCTTTGATCATAGTAAATTCCACTCTGTGGGGGGAAAAAAGAGAAGAGAAAACAAAGGTTGCATCTGTAGATCTTGTAAATTAAAGTTCTATCTCAACATTGCCCAAATGTTCCCAACTTGTACAGAACATTGTAAAAAATTTCGCTATGCCTAACTCAAAATCCATGTAACTTTCTGAAGCAAGTAAAGCACAAAAATCCCCAAACCTACGTATGTACTCTGTATATCAGCATTACCTGTATTTTAATGCCCTGACCAAAGGAGTAAATAGTTTTGCTTTTTCTGCCTGATAAATAAGGAAACCATGAAAAGTTTACCTAAATCCTAACCAGTGCAGTATCAAATACATGAAAAACATATTAGACAAAACTTGCTAATAATTCGTACAATGATTTGCTTCATTTTTTTTTTCCATTAGATACCATCCTGAATCAGAGAAGCAGGGAGAGAGAAGGAGAGAAATTCCTAAGAATTTAATACGGATGGATGTTTATGTGACTAGCATCAGTCTGTAGTCTACCACTGTTCTCTACACCAGACACGCATGCTGAAAGCCTAGCAATTATACTTTGGCTTATTTCTGTTGGGTTTTGACACTTCCTACACAGATTGCATATATATGCATATGCGAGGAAAAAATTGATATATACACACATAAAGAAGAAAAAACAGACATGAAGGTGTGGCAAAACAGTGCTTTCAGCAAGTACAGCTATCTCAACAGGCCATAGGAGGCAGAAAGATTCACACTACTCATTTGAGAACTGAGGGAACAGGAAAATAGCACCTCAAAAGTGCACCAAGAAATGCTGTAATACAAATAATTATAAGTAAATATAAAAATTCTTTCAGCCTTGTCTCAACACAGGCATCCACTGATGCTCTATCTCCCCCAACCCCTGATGGAGCTGCAATTGCATCAGTTCCAAAAGTCTCTCAAAAACTACATAAAAATATTTAATTTCTTGGCACTATATTCACATGTGTCACACACTGAACTTTCTAGAAGAGTTTCTGGAAAAATCACAATAATCCACATCCCTTTCTCAACAATCCACTGGGTTAACATCGAAAGTTCACGGTAAATTCAATCTTCCTTATGTCTACATTTAAAATGTATCTAACCGATAGGGGACAAAGTATAAATAGTAGAACACATATCTCCATCTTAACTGAATGAACCTTAACATAGAGAAGTGCCACTTTTAAATATTTCCAAGAGCCTTCCAGAGGCCTCCAACAGAACATGATTTCTGTTCAGCTGATTCCATTATTCATGGGATTCCACTGCCGTGAGTTTCAAACACTCAACTTCAGGTCACAAACTGGTCAATACTAGAGATTTCTTTTTTTCCTGAAAACATTTATACTTATGTCACCAAGCTAATACATTTATCCATAACTGTATTAGTATGTAACTCTACACACTCAGTATATCGATAATAAATATTATAGTAGAAAACTAACCAATAAATCTTTATGGGAATAAGCAGCTTTCTTCTTTGAATTATGAGATTCACTGTAAGCATGACTCTAAGAATAAAATTCAGAAAATTAATACTATATAACAGCATCTTCAATCGCAAAATATAAAGAAGTGAAACATAAGGATTTAAGATATTTCATCACCTACAATGGAAACACCACAGCAAATTTTAACTACATGATTAGAATAACAGGCCATACTTCTATCGCTGAGTAAAAAAAGAACTGATAAGTGAAACTATAACCAACCTTATCTGTCATTAACACAGACTTGGTTTATGCCAGTGATCACATTTCACCAAAAAAAAGTAAAACCAATCAATAAATTCAAAAAGCTTAACGTTACAGACCATTTTAAGCACTCTATTCTGTTTGCCTATCTGTAACACTACTGTTCAAAGAAATTCAGCTTTTTAAGCTGCTTGCATATTCCTTTTAGCAGTACTTGGTGGTTTTCTTTGCTTAAGGAGACACATACAAATCTTACTTGGTGTGATACCAATGAGAATATACTGCACACTACTACTGCTTCATAACAGTAAGAAGGAGTTTTTTTAAGTAGAGGTATATAAACCACCTGCTTTTTCTCAGGACTGAAATAATTTTCTGTTAGATTAAGTTAAAGTTTCTATATGGAAATGGAAAATACAAATATATGCATGCACACATTTTTTTAAAAAAAGTACGTCTTCCAAGTCTAATCTGTATATATCACCTCACTGCAAAGTTTACAATTAACAGAAAAAACAGTAAAAAACTGCTTACTGTAAGATAGCTGTCTGCCATAAGTGACTTCATGAGATTTTCTCCTAGCGAAAGTTTATGCATGCGTTCTATGGAAAGTGTTAGAATTGTACTGATATTCTGGGTCTAAAAGTGTGACAATACAAATTTATATATATTTTTAAAATCACAGTAGCAAGTTAGTGTCATTACACCTTAAAAACAAAGCAAAAAGCAGTCTTGAAAGACATGCAAAGAATTAACATACAGGGACCGAGTATCTTGTAGATCTATCCTTAGCATTATCATACTGAAATAAGAGAAAATGAAATTGAAATAATGAAGTTAAAAAAATAAAAGTTATTTTTTTTTTTCCAAGAATGACTAAAAAGACTTAAAAGGAAATTACCAGAAAACATATTCTACTAATTATGAAAATTTATACATGAAGGAATGCCATTTATGCAATCTAAAAGACATTCTGAAGCTGGAACACTTTTCAATAAAAACCTATTTTTTGCCCCCCCAACAGCATCGCAGTTTCAGAAGAGCGAGATAATTTTGGACAGCAGTAGGTTTTATGAAATATTTCATGTGGTTTTGCAACAGAAATTTAAACAATTAAGTAAAGTCTCATATGGTAGATTGTATTAAATGGAGACAGTGTTTGTTAGGTTATGTGATAAAAGGCTCATCTCCACACAGGCAAAGGAGCCCAGAGGACCATGAGTCAGCCCTGAGGTGGAGGTGTGAAACCCATCACCATGTGGGGGCTCTCCAGGGCACACTGCAGACTGAGGCTGGCTACTGCCTACGGGGCGTGGAAGATGTTAGGGGATGGAGGGCAATAGCATCTTGGGATCGGGGTAGGAATCAAAGGTGGAGAAAGGAAGGGATAAACGTGTTTCCAGAAGAAGCAGGTGTGTGAAAAAGGAGGAACAGTGGGATGGAAGGGCCACCTGTGTGTAAAGAGGCTGCTGGTCTACCAGATTCAGCAACTCAATACCTATGAAAACAGCTTTGCAATAATAGCTTAGTCAGTGTCCCCATGCTTCTTGTCACTCAACAACAGCAAAATCTGTGGAGTTTATACATTTATTTATTTTTTTAAACACACAGATCTTAAATTTTCTTAACAAGCTTGTTTTTTCCAGTTCATTTAAAATTTCACAGGTATAACTTAGCTATTCTGACTGTAGATAAAATGCACAATCCAAAACGTTACTTGGTATCACCCTAAGCTTTCTTATAAAGCAAAACAAAAATTGCAGGTAGTTTGAGAACATTACATGATATACTAATAGCATGCTATGGTATTACCCAGTGTAGTTTTCAACATGAGAACTAGAGAGGATTACAAGAACCAAAAAAAATTTCTTCTTGCCTATTGATATGTCTGAAAATTCCTTCTATACAGATCAAATTAACACCAAAAATTCTCTAGTTTCAGATTTAATATTTGTTTATAAATTAATATAGGCCAGGTTTAGCCCATATTGTTTCATATTGTTTTCATATTATCTCAATAGTTCAAATATATCCAATATTCATACTATATTAAATAATAATTTAATACTACTAATGTAATTGACAGACTATGGTACCTTTTTGTGTCGCTAAAAGAATTACTACCCAGGACCCATAGGACACTATATTAAGTTTTACCCAACTTAACCATTTATTCTTTTTAAAACAGTTTTTATCTTTAATTATTAACTACTGATAAGCAACCTTGCTATCAGAGAATGCAGATAGGTCACTCAGATAATAATTATCATCACAACACTTAACTTACACCTTAAATATTTGTTAGTAGACTGTTAAGCTGTTAACAGCTAAGTTGCCTAAATGAGGAATAACACAAAATATACAGAAATACCCATTTCTGAAAAAGTAAAATTTCTGTTTGTATTCCAGCCTTGACCGTAGGACTAACATTGCAACATAACTGAGAAAAAAGGTTTCCTGCCGTAACTTTTAGCGTCATATTTATACCTGTCAAGGCTGATGCACAACCTTTGCCACTTTATTTTACCTCTCTTTTGGGGACATTAAAAGAGAGAGACTGGAGAGACTAATTCCCTTCAAACTTGAAGTTCTTTTCAAGACAGAACACTTAGGACTTAACACTTTCTTTGAGCCCTCAAACTTGCTGTCACAAAGTGTCTGGTTACATCAATCATTGCAGCCGTCCAATTAATACCGTTTTCTAAAAAGAAGCATGCTGTCACCAAACAACTGTTTTGGTAAGTTGACACAGAAAATGTTATGATGTGAACACATCAAAGCATGCTCATTCCAGGTTACACACCACAAGATCTCTCCTTCTGGAGGTACTTGCTCTGCTCCTGTGAGACCCACTGACATCCAAAGAACTCTTAAGAATGAAATCATAAAAATATATCAATATATAAAATAATTCAGAAAAACTCTAATGATGACTGTTAATCTTCACTGAAAGGCACAAAACTGAGGCAGTCAAAGAAATTTTAGGTAAGTCCCCCAAAAGTAAGCTCAGTTATCTGCTGAGTTCAAGCCCTATTCTTTAGTCAAGGGTAAATTACTTAATCTCCATCTTAGCATATTTCATATATTAACCAAGGCAAGAGCAGATCTGAGCAAACCTGTACCAGTTCACAAGTTTGTAAGTGTTGCCACATGGCATATTTTTCATGCTTTTTCTGTACACCATTTACTGTTTGCAAAGTAGTCAACACTACCTGATTTAAACAATTTATTTGGTAAAAATACCTGTGTGATAAATTGCAGAAACACTACCAGGACTCGCAACACTTCACACAACATTCAGTTAATCAAAGATTACATTTAATTGCTGAGACTTCTTAGTAAGTGACAATCACTTTTTTTTAAGTCACAGAAAGAAACAGCTTATCCCACCTTCCAAAAACAAACAAAACCAACCCTTTTTAGTAATTTGTCCCTCTCCTGGCCTATATATCCAGATCAATGACAAGCCGATTTCTAGGCAGATCTACTAAAAACAGGAAAATGTTTAAAAACCCACAATAAAACCACTCTTTAGCACCGTATATGATCTAAAGAGGATATTGGAGAGCCTATACAACACAATAGATACTTCTATTAGCAGCCTTTGGGACACCCTTGCATCATTCAGGTAAATCTTTGCCAGTAATAAATAATACATCCCCATAGTCTCAAAGAAATAAACTCCTGCATCATATCAAGCTCTTCTTCAAATTGTATCCTAAGGTACTACTACTTTTTTCCCCGACAAACATTAGAGAAACTCAGTATTACTTAAAGAGCAAGAAAAGACACAACAGTGAGCAGACTACCATCAGCATCAGTTTGGAAAGAAAGCCCAAGTTACAAATCACTCCTACTCATCTTCAGTAAGTGGCACTGATTCAGGATGACTGAGTCTGCAGTAGTATTTAGTTTACTAAATAAAATTTGCCTGTTTGCAGAATTTCTGAGACAGCTGGGGAAAATACGAAAGATGGGAAAGATTTTTTCCCCCATTAGACTTATCTAAACTAGACCAGTGTTTGATTATCTGACCATTAGATTTGATGTGTAGTAGTAATCACAAGACAACTGACGACTTGTGTAGGAATCTTAATACTCCACCATTTCAAGACAAGCCAATTAATTCTTACCAGTTGGCAATATCTGAAGCCTGAGTAAAATTACTCAGCTTTTTTAAAAAGAAATAAATCATATTAGACTGGAATTACACTAAAGATGACACTTAAAACTTGTCATTAAATATATGTTATTCCAAATAATTGATTGTTGAACTACATATTTCCAAGCTGTTTCCAAATGCCTAGTCATTATTTTCAGCAACAAAAATATACTGTAAATAAATATACATAGTAGAGGAAGAAAAGCATGAGGTATTTATAATAGAAACATAGTGAAAGAATTAAAATGTGACAGTTGAGATTCTTTTTAAATGCAAAGATTGAAATACATAATAAACTACCTTGTTAACACTGATGGAAATAAAATACTAAATGAACCTTAACAACATATATGACTTAAAATACTGACTCTAAAACTGCTAATACTTGGAAGACTTAAAGCATCATCCACTCCCTAAGAAAATTCAACTAAAGCCCCAATTTATTTTTATTTTTTTAAGGCCACGATGGAAAAGGCAAAGTACACAGTTTGAACACAAACCAAATATGAATGTCGACTGGACCGGTGAGAATACCTGGCCCTCTCTGAATCTTCCTGAGAAAGAAGAAATGCAGAGTTATTTCATAGAAGAAAAAAAAAAAAATGACAAAGTAAATGCAAGCAAAGGTGAGCAACATGCTGTTAGCACTTTTAATGCTATGTATTATTTTGAATAATCCATTGTGTCAACTGAACTCATTCAAGCCAGAAGAACCGTGATATCACTAGATTTGGGTAAGTACATCAACACACTACATGAAAAGATGTAAGTAATGGGAGTTAATAATTAGTGTTCAGTAGTCAACCTTTTTTCCCCCCAATCACTGTATTAATGCAGAAAAAAAGTACAAGATTTTTTAAATTAAGAAATGTAACTAAAAATAAAAAAATAAAAGCTTTACAAAATTACATTAGTAAGAAATTTAGTATATAATTACTACAGCCAGGTTGTGAACATTTTACAAAGCTATTTTTAGCCCTAATATAGATGATCATTCTCAGTTTCCTCATACATATTTCAGGTTTTCTCCCCTATTATAGGAACAAAGCTTCTTAAGCAAATTGATTAATTATAAGTTCTGTAGGTAGTTCTGCTCTACAATGACAGCAAAAATAATAAAATCAACTTATAAAATTTGGGGGAGGACAACTAGCTAAGGCACCTTAGTAACCTTTGTTCTGTTGAAAGATCAGGGAATGTTCATTTTGACTTACACAAAGGAATATGTGAGAAGCAGCAGGACAAAAATATAACTAAGTTAAAATGAAATATTAAAATGCTTCACATGCCATAAGCTTCTCAAATTTTTAGTTACAGTAGGTAAGCATGTTAAGAAGATTAATTTTAAACTATCCTATTTGAAGGTTACAACAAGGCTCTAAAACTAGGAATCCTTCCTTAAGTGACTCACTTTTAGAGTTTTCAGTATGTCAAACTATTCTAAAGACTGTAAGCCAGTTATCTTTAGAGTTAAAAGCTCAGCCTCCAGATCACAGATGGATATCTGAAGTCTAAAGCTGGCTTTCATACTGCTTATGGTCATGTGGTTATTTTCTACAGTACGACTGGATACATTAACTTAATATTAATTTTGTGACTATTCAAGAGGCCTAATTAATACTCTGCAAGAAAATAATTTCCTCAAGGAGGGGAGGGGGAGTGATTTCATAATGACATTTTAGTCTTCCTCTCCATGGTGTCTACTTCAAGGTTTAAAATGAGCATTTATAGAATCTGTTGAAAAGTTTTATAGCAGTCAGATCACTGCCAATTTTAAATATATTTTGTGCTCGTGGTCTAACTGGACAAATATCTTTTAATAACAATTGCAGCTCACGAGCAGACAGTTTGCTATTTATCCTAATTGCTGGTATAACACCCCAGCTAATAATATGCTTCTATAATGCAAAACTTCAGCTTCTGATACAATTTTCTGTACATTTCTGTAGGTAATTTACTTAGGGTAACAAGTCTCTTCCTGACACACAACAAAGAAATAGAAAGCCAACATTACGTGTTCATCATATTCGGGTCAAAGGATAAAGTGCTCCAGCATAAACTGCAAACAGATAGCTGCTGCTGGTAGCAATCAAGCTTGATGTCTAAGAATTTAAGTTTGAAATACACACTTTGAGACAGAGGTTAGGTCTCCAGATTCAGGAAAGGAGGGCACATCTGCTCAGAAACCTCCTGCAGCAGATGTGCCTCTTACGAGTGCAAAAAGGCGGCAATTTCGAAGTGAGATTGCTCACAAGTGCAATCTGCATTGCACAGTTTGGCAAGCCTTGCTGTCCAGCAAAAAAGCACTCAAACGTGTGTTCCACCAAGAGATAACAGAAACCTATGTTGTTCTTTAAAAGTAACATGAGAACTAATACACAGGCAGATATCAGCTAGGCAGAGACAATATAAAGTCAGCACAACTTTGCAAATAAAATTCTAATGACAGTTCTAGGATTTCTCAACAGAAGTGCCAATGAACTGTCATGGTAGTTTTAACTATTTGAAATTATGGTTAGTCTTTGCATGTATTACTTAAATCTTCTTGAGTCAAAACATTTACACAGTGACTACTTCCCTAAAAACATAAAAAGAAACTCACATCTCCCATGTGCCTTTTTAAGAGGCACATGAAGTTTGTGAAAGGAAGTCTCTAAAGAAACATTGCACTAAATTAATATAAATTGAACTACAGCTTTCTCAGATTGTAACTCAACTATGTCTACTCCTTCATACTTAGTGGATTTAATCTAAATAAATGAACAGTCAAATGTTTTATCATTAATAACTGAAAGCAGGGGATAAGGGGTAGAAAGATGCAAATGATGCATGGGTTTTTTTGGGGGGGCTGGGTGGTGGTTTGGGTTTTTGGTTTTGGTTTTTTTTTTTTTTAATCTTTTACAATTAGTTTTTAAGTCATTTCTATGCCTTAATCAGTGAAAAGATGAGCATTGGCCACATTACTCAAATAGGAAACAAATAAATGCAAGTGCTAAGAAAAAAGTAAAAAATCCAAACCCCAAATTAACTGAAATAAAAACATTCACTATTTATGTTTACCTAGATTGAAACTAATGCAATTTCATTTAAAATATATTCATGACTTTAAGCCAGCATATGGTGGACACAATAAACATTTCATTTTAAGAAAAGCATGTCATTTCATAGTTTGTCTTTTGCTGCCATGAAGTACCCTAAATATCCAAATCCATATATAGTTTATATGTAATTGTTTTCAATAACAAAACACTTCGAATCCACACACAGCAAACCATTAGTAAATTACTTCCTCCAAACCCTATGTTAGTTCTGAGTGGCAAAAACATGCACAACAGGTGGTTTTAGCCTACCATCCATTTCTGGATATGAGCCCATTTTCTATCATATGAATGCTGAGAAAACTACAGAATGTAAAAAACAAACAAACCATTGACAATATAGATTAGTCACCACACAAGACTGGATATTCCTAAATCAAAAATTTGGAAAAAAATCTAAGTTAATTGCCAGGTAATCTTCAGTATACTATCAGACACCAACAGCAGTTAGAAACCAGAAAGTATGTAATAATGACAACCATATAAAATTGAGGCAAAATCATGTTTTGTAAATTGCACCTGTTATTACCACAGCAAAAAAAAACCCCAAACACCAGCATTTATATGGATTTGAATGTAATCACGATAAATAACAAGTTCTCAATCTCTTGCATGCTATCTCAAAACCTGAATAAAATGCAATAGCCATGAAATAATCAGACTGCTGATAATCTAGTTCCTACGTGGTTTTTTTTACTCAAGAAATGCAAACTTTTTTGTAGGAGCAATAAGTGGAGCAACACACAACCATATGTGTAAGTATTATCCCAACTCTAATATTTTTTTAAAAATAAAGATCCTGACAATAGGTATTTATTGTGAACACTTTTGCTATAATCCATATGGGAAGAAATTGACTGAAAACTGCATATCCAAACTCACGTATCCAAATTATCCAAGTATATTATAAACATATTAAAAATAGAGCAAAATAATTCTCTTTTTCATAGTTGTTTATCCTATACATTAGGCAGTGTACATTTTTGGTACCATCATGTTTATTATTTATGCTGTGCTGCCAGTTATCCATATTTACATGGACCTTTTGCACAGCAACAAGAAGCAAAGAAACTGTCACATGCATTAAGTAATTGTTCTTACAAAAGCACGAAAAACGCCAGCTGAATCAGCCACAAGTCTAGTAATTCAAATCCAGACAATATTAAACTTCACATTAGAAGTTGAAAACTGTTCCTCTCTGAGCAAAATTATTTATGCAAGCCTGAGTTCTGGACATTGTCATTATGTTCTCTTTCGCTCATTTAAAAATCAAGTAAGCAGTAATAAGAAAGCCTTAGCCCTTTAAATACCTGAAGATAAATATTTAGACTAATCTTTGTCCAATTCTAATTGCTAGGATTGAATTTACTGCATTTGTTAAATGTAAAACATCCAAATATCTGATTTTGCCTGTAAAACTAGAATTTAAAAATCACATTAAAAATGTTTTATCTTTCATTTGAAAGAAAGAGTGCTAATAGCCTATTTTATATAGCAAATTTTTTTCTACAATATAAGCATAAATATTAAGGAAGTTCAAAAGGAATGTTCAGATTAGTGTTTTGTTACGTGCTATCCACAGGCAAATACAAAGCAAGTTATCCCTTCAGATATATAACTCAAGAAGAAAGAGGGGGGTATGGGGTCGGGGAGAGAGAGAAAAGCTAACAGTCCCCTGATGCTGAAAATACTAGCACACAGCTGAATAACCTGAAAGACAAGATCTGATGCCAGTACAGAAATAAAATGCATTAAGAATTTTAGTAAAGGTTTGCGATAACCCATGACGATTTACACTACCTCTTTTTGTTGTCGCTCCAGCTCTCTCATACGTATATCTCTTGCTTCTGCTCGAGCTGCTCGCTTGGCTGCAAGCCTGGCTTCTGCCTACAAACAGATTGAAAATACTGAAAGTTAAACCCACATATTTTTGTATAATGGTTTGAGTACTCAATTTAATAATCTCATCACAAAAATACATTAAGATTCTAACATCACAATACATAAGTAGTAAAAAAAAAAAAACCAAGTTCTCAGAATGAAATTTCAGAAAGTATATATACCTAAGTCTTTACATATATCATTACTACTCAGAAGAATTACATGTTGATAGAAGAACTGAGTTCAGAAATATCACTATCACTAAATCTGAAAATCTATGTTTTGTGGACTTTAAATACTATCAATAGGCAAAGTCCTGTTAAACAGACATGTATGCAGCTGCAGAATCTTTGGCCACAGGAAGACATTAAAACAAAAAAGAAAGAATCAAAATAAAGATATTGGAGCACAAGTGTTTATGTCATATTTAAAGGCTCTACTATCATTTGGAATTATTTCAAAAAGCAAAAATCACTTAGAAGTCGAATTATTCCAAACAGCAATCATAAGATCTAATCAATTATTGGACAAAATGTAAGAAAGAAATTTAAGGTTACATTCTTCAAGAACTAACTTAAACATTTACCATCACCAAAAAGGGACTTCCCTACCTTTCCATTCAAGCCCTTATATCCCCAACACTTCCCTCGGACACATCTCCAGCACTCACAATCTACTGTAATCCAATTAACCAACTACCAAAGCAGAAAGTTAACGACAAAGTAGTTTTCTGCTGTGTTAGTGAAATTAATTGGCTTGTATGAGGATCTTATGAACTCCAGGCTCAGCAAAAAGGACAGGCAAGAAAAACAGTAACAAGACCTGGCCTTTTTCAGTGGCAAAAAGCCATTACATTTCCCGCTTTGCTTGCGAAACCTGGTTATTGACAGATACAACGATATATTTTCTCCACTTTCTATCCAGCCTCAACCAAAAAAGAAACACATTGCCTTTCAGACCCTAAACACCACCCAAATTTAATCAAGTTAATTAATTACTTGAGGCAAATATGTGACATAAGGCTAATATTTGAGGAAAACACAAGCTCAATTTTTTCATGTTTGAATAATGAGTTGATGAAAATTTTCTCTTAAATTCTTGAAATGTTAAACCACTGACATCAGGTTTTCCACCAAAAATTCCCGTTATCTAGCTCATGTTAATTAAAAACTTAGGAGAAACACCAGCAGCCAAAAGTCCAGAACTCCTAATATCCAAAACATTTAATTTTATAGAACTTTTTAAAAATTTTAAATTCAATGGGATTTCGCCTTTGGTTGAGGACAGTTTTTTTTTTGGCTTTTGCCACAGCATAGGTTTATATAAAACATTAGAAGCTTATAAAATTCAACAATCTTTTACTGTACTTCAGGAAAAAGGAAAGGTTATTTATAGCTTAAATTATGATTAAACTACAGGTACAAAAATATCAATCAAATAATGACAAGAAAGAAGGCAAACACATTATAGTTTTATTACTTAAAATAGTTTCTCTTAACTTTAAATGACTCATCAAGACTGTTTTTCTATATTTTGCATGCTCAAATGAAATGATTCAAAGTCTGTGTTAGCCCTCTTGACTGCCGTGCTGTAATCATTTTTCAGAGCAGCATAAAGATACTCTTCTTCTGACGTGATGACGGCACACGAGAAAAGCAAGGGAATTCCCATGCCACAGGAAGTCTTTCTCGCTTGCAGCCCTACTCTGTCCTTGTCTGTAATCATAGCTCTGTCCCATATAAACTTTCACACAGATGTGTACGCAGCACAGAAAGAGAAAGAGTCCAAACAGCTGATATGTCTGGATTTAGTTCTGTCTATAGACCAGCAGACATACACATCTAGCCATTAGACTCTGGCAAGGCTTTACTGTTTAAACATAGAAAGTTCATTCGTTTACTGATTCACACTAAAAATCAATTCACATTTCCCCACTCTCTCCTAGTTCTACAGCCAAAGACCTAACTGCTTCACACTCCTACCATAGAGGGGAAACTCCATTTCTTCCAATGTACTAAACCCTTGATAAAATACAGGAGAATTTTACAAACATTTTTCATAAAATAGGTGCCTGAAATTGGAAAAAAAAATCTTTTTAGAGAAGTTTTTTAGCAAAAAGTGGTTTGGTATTACATTAATTATTAAATCTAAGCAACTGGATTCCTCTAAAAAGTACACAATTTCGAAAAGACAAAGAAGCCAGCAAATTAAGTGAAAGCACAGTTCTGGGGCTTCCTTCACCATAATTTAGAGCAAGAGACAAATCCCATTATCATTTGAAAAGCCATCATAACGAATAATTTTTTATTCTCAGCAGAACTGTTAGAGAGCAGACCTCATGTTATTAAAAGCGCACTCATACAAGTCTTGATAACTATATAACTGAAATTCAAAGTTAACATTGATAAAGAAATAACTAAAATTCAAAAAGAAACAGTTTTCTTCCTGGGTGCTGCTGTTCACTCTGTTGTGTTACTGAAGAAAGCCCATAGAAGTTGTGAAACAATTTTCCACCAACACGCTTTGCAAATTAAATTCTTCAGCTATGTTGAAACGAAGTCTTTAAATATCTGCTAAGGGAAATACAGTGCCACAACAGCTTTGGATAGAGAACAGAGTTGAAAAGATGAAGCTGTTTAGACTATAAAAGCAGCACAGAAAGGAAATCTAGACTACTATTTATTTTTTGGGAAAGAAAAACAGAGAAAGGACAGGCAGTCATATTATAATGCTTTTCTAGTTCAATTACTATTAGAATTGAAGAGCATCCTAAATACATCACTATTCCTTGCTCATAGGAGCTTGGGAGTCAGTACAGGTCGCTTTCTACACCTTGCATTAAACAAACTGCAGTCTTCAGATACCACAGACTGGCCACTACAGTCTTGATTTCAGTTTCATTGGTCATTACTCTCTATACAGAGCCTTTAGACCAGACACACATAATGAATAACATGTAATTATAAAATAAATTTATAATTATAAAAATAAATAATTTACAATAAAAATACATTACAATATCATCTAATTGAAGTACAACTTGTTAAAAAGTGATATAACAAACCAAATTCCTATTTTCCAGAAATAAGAATTAAACTGTGAACTGTCCAAGATGTAGCAAACCTGACACTTACAAGTTTCTAAAGGGGACTTCCAATTGCTAAAGAGAAATGTGATAGCTGAATTTTCTTCAACTTCAACTGCAAATAAGAGATGAGGTATCTAAACTTGTTAGAGCCATACCAGTATACTTACACTGGTGGCTAAAATTAAAATAAATCCCTTGGTTATACATTCTGGTGGGCAAATAGGAGCCATGAGGTACAGATACAATTTCGCATGGAATTTGTTCAGAAAAGTGATCAGGAAAGGAAGTAGAGGACTACAGAGAAAATCCTTGTAACAAAAGAAATTGGGTAGAAAAAAAAAAACACAAAGAAGAGGCCCTTAAGGCTTTGTTTGGATAGGAAAAAATGATCAATTAATAAAAGTATATGAACACATTCATGCTACTCCTTATCTTTAACCTCCTACCCTCAGGAAAAATACATGATTTTTAAACTAAGTGCCATATTTGCATTTCTCTGGGTATTAGCCCTGCTCTGAGTAACAAAACAAAGCCATCTGTTAACTGCTGAGTTCTGGAATTCTACATTTCAAAATAGGTACCAAAAACGTAAAAATAAAAGTAATGTTTCCTCGCACCTGCATGAACAGCATTTCATTCTAGAAGAATATGACCATTCTGGCTGGTTTCAAGCATTTAAGCTACCACCTTGAAGCACTATTCACTTTGATTAGGTTATTTTATTTCATATGTTTAGAAAACATATGGGTAGCAAGAGAATGTTCTCCTTCCATCACAGGCAACATGGGAAGTTTCCTCATTTTCACCTAAAAAACAATTACTAACAACCACTTCCAGTCCTACATCTGCTTATTCCATTTTCTGTCATTTTTAATATGTACTGTGCCACAATCTTTTGAAAACTTTTCAAACCACCTTATCTCAACTTCCAAGGATAAAATTTAGTTCTTTAATTAAATCCAAAATATTTTTTGAAAGAAAGGAAGGAGAAAAGGAAAAAGAACAGATTTTAATTTGAATGCCTTTGTAAAGATTGAGTCAGGAGTCTCTCCTTTCTGATGTGTTTTTTCTTAGTCTCTTCACAGCAATGATCAAGTTCTTCACCAAGAAGCATACTAGTACATAGAATTGATATGGTTGAAGCTTCCCCTCATGCTGAGCAAGAAGCATAACATGTGTCTCCCTAGTGTAGACAGGCATCTTTCTCCTTCCCCTTGCTTGCAACAAGGAATTCACTAGAAAGCAACAGTATTTTTGTTTTAATTTTCATAGGCGATTCATTAATTAGCTCAGGTTCAACATAAAAGCTTCATAAATATAAAATATAGCCTGTAGTCTATATATTAGTACATATACTAATATATAATACTATTTATACACTATATATAATACTATACATACCATATATGCTATCCACCTCTGAAAAAATGTGAATGCTCTTTGTTGAAAAATTAGAATTATTTTGTCACTACGGGCTACAATACGTATAAACTCATTTCTCTCTCCATCGAGGGATATGCAGTGTCTACAATTCTGCATTTTCCACGGCAGGAGGCTCAGGCAAGGATGGTTTTCCTTCTTCCAGCAGATGGCAGCGGTGAGGGCACCGGTTACCCCGGCCCCGGCACCTGGCTCCGTTTCTGCCATAGGGCATTTGATGGAACACCAGGAACCTCTGCCAGCTCCAGCAAAGGATGGGGATAAGCAGTTTAAAAACACTCACCGTTTCTTAATACATTACCACACGCTGCAATACAAAGTTTATTTCATCATTTCTTAAGTGAACACGCATTATTTCTCTCTTCTGCTGCTTATTTCTTCTGTATTCTCATTTCCGTGCTTTTTACCCTCCTCACCTCCGTACTGTCTCACGGACCCAAGACAACACAACACCATCACCCATATGCCAAATGTATTT